ATGATCATTTCCATATATTATTCCCTACCTTGCCGTGGTTCCATTGGTGGTAATAGTTCCACATTAGACTCTTATATTGCTGCTATTGTGAGTTGAGAAAAGTTCACATCTATGTTTGAGATTTACAGGCGTGGTGTGAGCACTTTGAGGTTGATGAATGAGTTATAGCTATAAAAGGCAAATTTATTAGTTGACTATGGCTGCATTTTTTTATTTTGTTTTTACGAACCAGTAACTAAGTTTAGTGATAACATCTTTTATGGTACGAACTAGTAACTAAGTTTTGTCATAACATCTTTTATGGTATTGATTTTTTGATTTAAAAAAAAAAAGGAGTTTGACTATAACTTTTGTTTTTTCTCTATAAAGGAGTGCCTGTGCATGACTACATTGCCGGGGCAGCCTCCTTATGGTCAGCTGGTGCCATAGCACCATTATGTATTGTGAAGAAGTCACACTAATGTGATTGTTCCAATGTTAAAAGTCTGACGTATGAATTTGAGTATTTTGTTCGGACAAAAAAAAGCAGTCTTTTGCTAAAGTCTTTGAATTTTGAATACTTTGTTTGTTTGAAAACTCTAACTACTAACGTTTATGTTGCTGAAAGAAAGGTCACAATATTAGGCCAAGTTTGAGAAGACTAAATAAGTGTACTTTTTGTCTTTTTGGACTAAAAAATTGAGGTTGAAAATATGGATGTTTGGGTTAACTTTTTGACTTTTTATTGAAAAATGTGTAATAAAAAATTGTAAAAATTGATTTGTAGAGAAAAATTTGAATTGGGAGTTGTGCAGCCGTAATTGTTGACTTTTGGTGAATAGTGTTAACTTTTTAAGACTTTTTGGAGTAACTTTTGGCCTTTTTGACTTTTTGAATCATCCCAAACTTGGCCTACTATATTATGTTGGTTGCAAACAGATGCTATCTTGTGTTGGTTTATGATACTTTTTGTAGTTTCTTCTTTCCTTTTATTTTTTTTTTCTAGCTCAATCTTTGATAATACTGTTTGGGCATTCTTGGTTGAGACCACACAGCCCCCCCCCCTTCACCACACACATACACACACAGAGCACTCAGAAGAAAAGATACACATTTTGTTGCCTTCTTTTCTTCTTTAGTAAACCTTGATCTAATGTGTCTGATTTGTTATTGTTGCAGATGCTGGAAGGGCTTCTTAAATTGCCAGAGAAAGGGAGTGCGCTGACTGCAAAATGCATAGTAAGTATCTCCGAAATTGTCAAATGTTTCGATGACATTGATTCGAAATTGTGAAAAATAATTGTACATTATGGATAGAGTCCAGAACCAGATTTCGAAAGCAATGGATCTTGTGGCATTATACATAAAGTAGCTTTACGATGTTATAGTTATATAAATATTTTTATTTTTTAAGTTGCTGTAGTGACCTCATTTTTCAATGCAGAGGTCCTCGATGGGCTAGTGTGGAATCTGGGCATCTTATATGCATGCGAATGTTTCTGGAATCTCACAGAAGTCTTGGAGTGCACATGATCAAAGAGGTGATTATTTGTTCATTGGTTATTGTAAATCAACAATAGAAAATTGGAAAATATACATGACATGGTATTTATTTCTTTTATCAAAATGTTTCAAAAACATATTTAGAAGTGCCATACGAGTTGTATTTCGAATAATGCATAACATTGGATACTACGAAGGCAGATTTCCTTCGCATGGTCTGTTTACATGTTTTCCAGATCCAGACTCTGAACTTAGAATTGGATTCAGGAGAGAAATTCAATTGTTGTCTCATGCATGCATGTTTCGTACAATTATGATGATGGCCGCTCTATAAGCGAGACCTTGACGGGTTTTCCATGACCGCAGTAATTGAAGGCTTTTTAGTGATCCTAATCTTCAAATTAAACTTACAAACTGTTCAACCCTCTCTGTGAAATTACCTTTGTTGTATCAAGTGGCAGCTTATCGAGGACAATATGGAGTACTGAAGCAGGAGTCTCAATTTGCAAAGGCAAATGATTGTAGGTTTTCAAGTCCCTGCGTAAATAATCTTTAATTACCAAACTAAATCCTAACTTATTGTTTATTGCCAAATTGTGCTTCAAAAACTAAAGTGGCATATTTTTACTTTGAATTTGTTTTATATGCAAGTTTAGTCTGCAAGATAGAACATACGAATTCCCGTTCTAATCCAGGTGGGCTGATCTTCAACCGATTCAAAATTGTACTGCATCGACAGGGAGTTTAAACTTGGGCCAGCAATTCTCTTGACAAGAGTGAGCATAATAAGAAGAATCATCGCAGAAGTAAGGAAGCATATAAAATACACTCTTTGAATTTTTCTTGAATTAAACTTTATAACCGAGGTAAGGTAGCTACTAGCTAGGGACTTGGAAGTTAAAGAGTAAAAGAAAAGAAAGGATGTATGCCCATGAGAACACAACTAAAGTGGAAAAGATTATTGTTAATTCTCAAAATAGGATTCATATCAATACTAAACAATTTCTTTTGGCAATAGATAAATTTGCTAAAAAAGAGAAACACTAAGTTAATTGCTGGGGTAAATGCTTTTGAAGGGTGATTCCTGACCCTTTTTCGACTTCACAGAGCCGTTATGAAACATAGTGCTTTACTTGCATTTCCCAATATTTTCCTGTAATTAGTAAATGATCTGAAAAGTGTTTTTTTTTTTTGGGTGAAAATTTACATCTTTTCTTTGACAGCTTGACAGGTGGCTTCAATGATGAAGCAAACAAAATCTCCACCTTTTCCTTCTTTTACTTTATGTTTGGGTGATCTAAGAAGCGCAATACTCTAAAAAAGTCTGTGCCTGGTTTTTGAATACATGTTGGACACGTGTGCCAAACATGTGTATATTATTTAATTATTATTGTAAATCTTTTTTTTAGATACTAGATATTGGGACGACGCTTTCGACACTTGGGGAACACGCTCATCCATGCACTATGAAAACACCTTACAAGTTGATGAAAGTAACTTGGGATTTAATGATAAAGAAAAACAACAGAGAATTTAACATATTAATCCTTGACTCCTTTAGATGTTAAGAAGTGATGTTAAATCTCTGAATTGAAATAATTCATGATATAACATATGATTAATATATATAAACTATATATTTTGGGCTTGCCCGTGTCATGTCGTGTCGTGCTCCGTGGTCGTGTGTTATGCTCTAGTGGCCTAATAATGAGGCTTTTTTCACGGAAAAGGAGAAAAGGAACAATTGTCCTGTGCAGTCATCCTTGGTGGGTGCATGCTTAGCTTTGTTCTTAGTTGAAATTTATACTGAAATCTTCTTACATGGATTAGATTTCTGACAAGAATTTGGATGACTTCGGTTGGGCATTACTGCACTCTCCTTCAGTGAGAAAGCGACATTCTTCTATTTGTTAAAGTCCTCTACGGAAACTAAATAAAAAACTCAATGTTTATAATGTTTCTTGTACACATGTAATGCTAAATTTTGTTTCTTCTTGTTTGTGATGTGTTCATTTTAAAATTTTGAATGAGGCCAAAGTTGAAGTGAATGTATGTGGATGCAATGTGGTTGTTATTACCAATAAAATATAATTATGCAACAAAATTTAGTTAGGACACTCTTATGTAAAGAATCTCGAGAGAGCGAGGAAGGGTATGCACGGAAGCCAAGGAAGATATATCTCACTTAAACGGATATAAGTGATTCTTAAGATATTTTGTAATTATATTTTTGGTATTAACAACACATGCACACATACATTCACTTCAACTTGCCTCATTCAAATTTAAAATTCACATCACAAACAAGAAGAAACAAAATTTAGCATACATTACAAGAAACTATTTAACATTGATTTTTTTTAGTTCGTAGAGGACTTTAACAAATAAAGAATGTCGCTTTCTCACTGAAGGAGGTGCAGTAATGCCCAAACGAAGTCATCCAAAATTCTTGTCAGAAATCTAATCCATGTAAGAAGATTTTCAGTATAAATTTCAACTAGAAACAAAGTAAAGCATGCACCCACCAAGGATGCTGCACAGGAAATTGTCCTTTCTCCTTGTTTCCGTGAAGAAAAGCCTCATTATTAGCCACTAAGAACATAGCACACGAACACGAAGACAACGACATGACCAGAGGAAGCCCAAAAATATGTATATATAATAATTTATCAATATGTTATATATGAATATTTCATTCAGAGATTTAACATCACTTCTTAAAATCTAAAGGAGTAAGTAATTAAAGTATAAATCGTTTCTTTCTTACATTACTTTACATCACAAGTCTTTACACTATCAAGTTATGTGTACAGGGTTTCATAGTGATGGATGAGCGTGTTCCCCAAGTGTCGAAAGCGTGTCCAACTATCTGTATCTAAAAAAATTTAAATAATAATAATAATATAACATGTTTGGACACGTGTCAACATGTATTCAACACAGGCACAGCACTTTTTTAAATGTATTTGTGCTTCTTAGATCACCCAAAACAATAAAGTAAAATAAGGAAAAGGTGGAGATTTTGTTTGCTTCATCATTAAGCCACCTGTCAAGCTGTCAAAGGAAAGATGTAAATTTTGCACCAAAAAAAAAAAAACACTTTTCAGATCATTACTAATTACAGGAAACATATTGGAAATGCAAGTAAAGCACTATGTTTCATAACGGGCTCTGTGAAGTTCGAAAAAGGGTCAGGAATCACCCTTCAAAAGCATACCCCAGCAGTTAACTTGTGCTTTCTCTTTTTAGCAAATTTATCTATTGCAAAAGAAAATTGTTTAGTTTGATATTGAATCCTATTTTGAGAATAACAATATCTTCACTTTAGTTGTGTTTCTCATGCATAATCCTTTCTTTTCTTTTACTTCTTAACTTCCAAGTCCCTAGTAGCTAGTAGCTACTATACCTCGGTTATAAAGTTTAATCAAAAGAATTCTAAAGAGGTGTTTTTTATGCTTCCTTACTTCCTGCATGATTCTTCTTATTATGCTCACCTTGTCAAGAGAAATGCTGGCCCAGTTTAACTCCCTGTGATGCAGTAAATTTGAATCGGTTGAAGATCAGCCACCTGGATAGAACGGGAATTCGTTGTTCTATTTGCAGACTAAACTGCATATAAAACAAATTCAAAGTAAAAATATAGCACTTTTAAGTTTTTGAATCACATTGGCAATAACAATATTTAGATTTAGTTTGGTAATTAAAGATATATTACTCGACTGAAACTACAATCATTTGCCTTTGCAAATTGAGACTCCTGCTTCAGTACTACCATATTGTCCTCATAACTGCCACTGTACAACAGGTAATTCACAGAGAAGTTTGAATCAGTTTGTCAGTTAATTTGAAGATAGGATCACTAAAAGCCTCAATTACCTGCAGGTCACTGGAAACCCGTCAAGGTCCTGCTTTATAGAGCCGCCATCATCATTAATTGTACGAACATGCTGCATGAAGACAATAATTAATTTCTCTCCTAATCCAATTTCTAAGTCAGGTCTGGATCTGAAAACATGTAAACAGACCATGCGAAGAATCTCTTCGTAGTATCAATGTTATGCATTATTCGAAATACAACTTATGCACTTTAAATATGTTTTGAAACATTTATAAAATAAATAAATACATCATGTATATTTCAATTTCTATTGTTGATTTACAATAACCAATGAACAAAATATCACCTTTGATATGTGCACTCCAAGACTTCTGTGGATTCCAGAACATTGCATGCATATAAAGATGCCCAGATTCACACTAGCCCATCGAGGACCTCTGCATGAAAAATGAGTCACTACCAGCAACTTAAATAAATAAAAATTATTAATAACTAATAAACATGTAGCTACTTTATGGTATAATGCACAAAGATCCATTGCTTTCGAATCTGGTTCTGTGACTCTATCCATGTCATTATTTTTTCACAATTTCAATCAATGTCATCAACATGACAATTTCCAGATAACATACTTGCATTTGCAGTCAGCGCACTCCCTGTTCTCTGGCAATTTAAGAAGCCCTTCCAGCATCTGCAAATAACAAAATCAGAACACATTAGATCAAGGTTTACTAATAGAAGAAAAGAAGGCAACAAAATGTGTATCTTTCTTTTGGTGTGTGTGTGTATGTGTGTGTGAGGGGGGGGGCTGTGTGGTCTCAACCAGAATGCCCATTACATATTATCAAAAGATTGAGCTAGAAAAAAAATAAAAAGGAAGAAGAAACTACAAAAAGTATCATATAACCAACACAATAGCATGTGCCAACCAACATATATAGTAAGGCCAAGTTTGGGATGTTCCAAAAAAGTCAAAAAGCCAAAAGTTACTCAAAAAGTTAAAAAGTTAACACTATTCACCAAAAGTCAAACAATTACGGCTGCACAACTCCCAATTCAAATTTTTCCCTACAAATCAATTTTTACAATTTTTTATTACACATTTTTCAATAAAAAGTCAAAAAGTTAAACCCAAACATCCATATTTTCAACCTCAATTTTTTAGTTCCAAAAAGACAAAAAGTAGCACTGTATTTAGTCTTCTCAAACTTGGCCTAATATTGTGACCTTTCTTTCAGCAACATAAACGTTAGTAGTTAGAGTTTTCAAACAAACAAAGTATTCAAAAATTCAAAGACTTTAGCAAAAGACTGCTTTTTTTTGTCGAACAAAATACTCAAATTCATACGTCAGACTTTTAACATTGGAACAATCACATTAGTGTGACTTCTTCACAATACATAATGGTGCTATGGCACCAAGCTGACCATAAGGAGGCTGCCCCGGCAATGTAGTCATGCAAAGGCACTCCTTTATAGAGAAAAAACAAAAGTTTAGTCAAACTCCTTTTTTTTTTAAATCAAAAAATCAATACCATAAAAGATGTTATGACAAAACTTAGTTACTAGTTCGTACCATAAAAGATGTTATCACTAAACTTAGTTACTGGTTCGTAAAAACAAAATAAAAAAATGCAGCCATAGTCAACTAATAAATTTGCCTTTTATAGCTATAACTCATTCATCAACCTCAAAGTGCTCACACCACGCCTGTAAATCTCAAACATAGATGTGAACTTTTCTCTCAACTCACAATAGCAGCAATATAAGAGTCTAATGTGGAACTATTACCACCAATGGAACCACGGCAAGGTAGGGAATAATATATGGAAATGATCATCCTTATAGGTCTATAACAAATCACTTCATGGTAATCCCGCAAAGTTACAGAGAGAAACAACACTTTTGAAATTAACCCCATGCCATGCTCCCCCCCCCTCCCTAAAAAATAAAAAATAAAAAACCAAGAAAAACTGGTTGGGATAGAAATTTCTTGAATGTTTTTCTATCCTATTCCATAAGAAAAGGATTACCATCTTTGTACACAACAAATGTGGCCCAGTCCTGTGGGAAATTCAACAGGATGCCAATTCCCAACACTTGTACACAACAAATGTGGCCCAGTCCTATGGGAAAAGTTGTTACTAATGGTCCATAGATGCAGAAGAATTAGTGGGGAATTTATTAAAAGTAATAGTAGTCAGAAAAACGATGAATTTGGGGTGAATGTAAATCATATAACTTTCAATTGTTTGAGGTTTATGTGTCATGCATATTCACAACTACAAGTACTGAAGAAATTGTTCATACACGAATGAAGAAATTAAAATTAATATCTGAATGGCTAGCAGATGGGAACGATTACGACCAAATGATGTTAACAAACTCATTTTGAACTCAAAATTATATAGATAATGAAAATTAAGTAAAAAGAAGAAAAGGAGGAAACAATGGTGGAAGGGTGTTACAATGCTTGAGAAATCAGTTGATATCAATTAATTCTAATATCAGAGCAAATATTAATTGCAACAGAATATGTATAACAATATGCCAAAAGCCTATTATACATTCCAACCAAGTTTTTTTTTTTCTCTGTTTGTGTTTTCTATGATTATTATTATTTTATTACTTTTCTATAGTTTTTAAGTCCATGCAAAGGACTTTCTTTTTTCTTTCGTATTCATATTGCAAAAGCTTGGAGCATTCTTTGTATCACATAATTAGTATGAAATCCCGTAGGCCTCAAAAACTGGAGAAAAAGGCAAGTTGGGTTCCATGTGAGCAGAACTCATAGGCATGTTGTTTCCAACAAAACAATCACCTTACCAAATAAAATTATTAATAATTTTAACAACAATTAAAATAAACAATGTTTTTTTAGGAAGGTAGGTCGGCAGATAATGTGGCATGTAGTATATGCTTTTCAAATTCATTGTACTATGCTGAAAATTATTATGCTGCTGCATATAGAGAGGTTATAGTATCTTCGGCTATGGTGAAATATGTTATGCTGCTGCACATGGTGGTCCCACTAAGAAATGCAAAACAAACGTGTAAAGATGTTCTTTTCCCCTAATTTGATCACAAATCTATGGAACACGCCAAAAGATTTTATCAACAAAACATTTTGCAGAGCCTTAAAAACTAGTTGTTGGACTATGCAATGCATTGGATAATTAATTTTAAGCAGGCATTTCTTGCTAAATATATATTATAATACATTTAAACCAGTACATACAAATTTATTTTGTAATTCCAACAAACACACTATTCAGTCAATTAAACAAACACATAAAGTGCACAGTCAAGACTAGTACCAGTAACCCAAGAAACCCACATTGAGGACGACTATTCATACTTACATTTGAGCAGAAATGGAGAGAAAATTTAGGGCAAAGATGAACTGTCCATCTTCTGATTTCGTTTCTGACGCGTTAATGTGCCTCGCCACCTGGTCTTTCTCATCTCAATCAGCCCGTTTGAGATCGCCTTCTGACGAGTCCGACGATAGTCCTTTGTGACAAAGGTTCTAAGACAGTTGAGGGA